CATAACTATAATATCCTGTAAAACAAAGATGTTTCCTGAGTTTTAAATGAATTCAGAAAAGGGAGATGAGACAGTTATTAGGAAGAATTTGGTATAAGAAAGGGAAATTTAATAAGAATATTTTTTCCTTACCCTGGATCTTTTTACTGCAGGCAGTCAGGATTGGGTAGGAACAATAATTCATTGCAACAAGAGCCAAAAACACACGCAGAGCATTCGGAAAAGTGAGATGGTCTATTTCTTTCAAAACTGCCATCTAAAGTGAATCAGAGTTTATTAAATCCTTCATTCTTCTGGTATATTATCACTGCTTTCTGGTGAAAACATTTTCACCAAAACTTTCCCAAATTCCTTAGTTCAGGCTTATATGAAAGAAAAAAAGCAAAAAATAGCGAAAGCATAAAGTAATTACTCTCAGTTTCTTAACATACAATTTTAACAGGTCAAATGCTCTCGAGATGTGTCACTATGCCAGTTCCCAGCAATTTGCCTTTATACCCTTATTTTAAAAGAAAGAAATCTCACCAAAGGTCATTTCCAAATACTGTGAATATGTATCTTCTGCAAACTTTAAAAAAGTAGCAGAAATAAAAATGCCACAGTTGACTGATCTGCAGGCCCATGAAAGCTGTAAGCCTCTAAAGTGACCTGTACTACACCGAGCGGTCTATCTTTAATACAAACAGCCAGCAGCAAATGTGGACTGGGGCAGAGGTGGTCAGCTCTGCTGCCACAAGAGAGATTTCATTTACTGAAGCAGTAATTAGATTGATATAAATGACAGTTAAAATGAAATTACAAAATATAGTGGCTACTACAATACAATATTCTTACTGCATGCATATAAAAGGTTAAATACAAAATGCATCTACAATAGAAATTACACTGTAAAAAACAGTACCCTGTGGGCTCAGAAAATAAAGAGCTCTCTTTAGCTAACAAGTGTATATGTTACTTTCCTTTCAGTTTTATGATATTTCATGAATGCCATTACTAACTGACCTCAGACTTCTTCAGTTATGTGATAAACACACAGCAGGCCTTGTTTGAAAAGTGGTTTCAGAAAGGGTTTTTAAATCAGGGGACAAATGCCAGAACGCCCTGCCATAAAACCTAAAGCCTGCTCCCAACCTAACTCCCATCAGTCCTCCATCCCCTTATAGCCCCATCACAGACCAGTTTTCTGGCACCTCGTCTTCCAGTCACAAGCTGGGCAAGGGAATAAGGGAAAAGCCTTTAAGCACTTCTCTGAAACACCGTGTGGCCAAATCAAAGAGCCAAGGGCACTGCTATTTTACAGCCTCAACTCCTTTTGTTCCCAACCTCCAAATTTAAGTTCTTCCTGCAGATATATCTGGACTTTGATTCATACTGCAAATAGTTACCTTTCTATTATATTTTCTCTTTCAGAAAGAACCATACACAATTTATAAACAATGCAAGAGCACAGAGCTCTGTGGAAGTAAAAATGAGCCTCCAACTAAACTTACCTCTAATTTCTTTTTCAGAAAAACCGGAACGTCTTTTCCCATGCATTTCATCAGGTTTTGCAGAATAAAGATGTCTTGGATACTCGAAATGCGCTGTTCCACTAGTAACCTGATGAAGAAACACACACAAGAACTTTCCTCATTTCAGCAGAAACAGCAGGTACCCCCATTCTTCCTCACTGATGTATTCCTAAGTTAAAGCTGTAATTCTCTGCTCCTCTCCTACTTTCTTTTTTTTTTTGCAATACTGTCATAACTCTACATGATGTAGCTGCAGTACATGGAAATAATTATATATGCTTTCTAAAAATTATCCTGATAGATGAATGTTGTTGCTGATATGTTAACAGCAGGGGCACCTGACCAGACTGCATATGTGACTGTGTAGATGTGAGTCCCATTGAGCATCAAGGAATTAACATCCTTCTGCAGAAAAAAAAAAAAAAAAGCATATCTTTATCTCAGAATCATCTAAGTGCAGGCAAGTTCTGAACCGGCCAGGAAACTCAGGAACAGACACTGACAACAATTTGTTTTAAGTGAGAAAAGAAAACAAACAAGCAGTGCTGTGGGCTGCAAGAACAGAAGGGGATATTGCAACACAGAGGGATCATAAGCACGAGATGAAGGAATTCTGCATTCCTAGCACCTACTTTTCTGTCTCAGAGGGTGGTATTGTAATTGTTCAGTCCAAACAACTCTTAAATATACCTGCACACCTACAAAATTATGAAGTGTCACTTTCCAAGGCAGTGCACTGGTCTGAAATTCACCCCTGCAAATAGGCAAGAGCTCCAGACAATAAGACAGAGAAAGAGAGATGTAGATGGGTCTCCTGCTTTGCCCCAACTTTTATGGCACATCCACCTTCTCAAAGCAGAACCTCACACAGGATCAAAAGTACTATTCCATGGCAAGTTTTGTGACAGTCTCAGTAAGAACAGTCTTGTGGCAGTGAGCAGCTTGGTTAGTCACATAAATCGCACTGGCCCAGAGAAAATTCACTATAGCCAAACAAGTTATTCTGATAAAGCACTACACAGAGGGACCTGCTGGATGCAACTAGTCTTCATCTTAATTTTTACTTACTAAATTAAAAGAAAATATTCTCAGGCTGCTAAATAGCATTTTTAATCATGAAAAATCAAAATACTTCACAAAGTAAGCTAGTCTCATTACTCCCATCTACACACAGATAAAAGAGGGATAGATATGTGAAGGGACTTGATTAACATCACAAAAAACCCACACTGGTGGAGCTGCAGCCAGAACACAATCCCCTGTGGACCAGACTAGTACCCTATACCACTGGAAGCCCTCCTGCTTAAAACTGCAAAGACTATGCCAAAAATCATCGCGCAGCACAGCTCTTATCTCATGTGATCGTTTAAATTCTAAACGCACAGTATGTATTCTATGCGCAGACATTCCCTTGATGACTTCTAACAGACACGTATTCAAACAACATTGAAATAGGAAGAACATGTGAAAGATGTGTTTTTCTCACTGTAATCCAGCTTGAAGAGCGCTCACATTCTTGTCTTTATCCATCCCTGATAAAGTAGTTGCCAAAACGGAGACACATCGGTTATCAAGTTGATTGAGCTTCTCCTGTTAAAGTTTTCACAATGTCAGATTACTTCAAACCAATGAAAGTTTCGGAAAGGTAAAACTGACCACTCTCAATCTGCACCTGTCATTTTTTCTTTCACCTCAAAAATCAATTCACAAGCTTTAATTCTGCAGTGACCCCCACAAGGACTCACATCAAATTTACTTGATATGAAAGGGGTAATGATTTTTGAGACTTCTCCTGTTAAATCTGAAATCAGGCAGTGGTTTCAAAAATGAAGGAGACTAGAAGTATGCACAAATGAACTAATGGGAACCCTGTTTCCATGGAACATCAGACTAAACCAGGGATGTAACCCAGTTCTCTCTGATGCTGCCTCTCAGAATTGCCCACGAGATTTTCAGCCCAGATTTAAGAGAAGAATCTTCACACTTACTTGGCAGACTCTCAGCAAAGTCTGGACCAGGAGCGTGTTCTGGGGCACCCCAAGGTTCACAATGGCATGCAGGCTGAACACCAGGTCCCCTCGCGTCATCCTGCGGGAGTCCCGCAGCAGCTGCTGGCACACCTTAGCAAAGGCCGGGTGCTCAAAGATCAGCTGCTTCTCGTAGCGCTGCTGCTCCTCTGACATGTGTTTGAAGAGCCTCCACGCTGTGGTTAAACAGTTCGTGTAGTGCTTGATGGAGACAGCAGACTCGGAAGCCAAGTCCAGTGCGTCGCAAGGACAGGTGCATTTCTCGAGACTGTTAAAGAATGGGTCATTCTGATCCACTACATGCTTTGCTTTGATGCTCCCAGAATCATCCAACTTTTCAGCTTCCAAGGAGCTCTGGGAAGCCTGCTCACCCACCAAAGACTCTGCACCTGCGCTAAACACATCTGTCTTCTGAGAGAGAAATCGAAGTGATGATCCATGAAGAGAAGGAAAAATATTTAAAAATAACTCCCTGAAGTTCACATTTCCCAAGGGATCCCTGTATCTGCTAATCCATAAAATGTGTTTTCTTGTTGTGCCTGAAGATTTGGGAGTCAGCACAGAACTGTACCTATGCAGGTATCTAACAGTATTTAACAAATAACTTATTTTCTTATTCATTTCTGCTAAGTCCTCATGAATAGACTTCAAATACCAACTCAGAGTAAGGGATCCGATGAAACTCTACCAGTGGAAACAGTACTGGAGAAACTGCATAAGATCCCTCATCTGTAAAAACAATTGAAAATTATGGGTTAGTTACCAGACTTTGAACTTCTACAGTTTCAATTGCCGAATCTATGCACTTTTACAGGAAGGGAGAAGATTTGGGAAAAGATCCCTGGAAAACGACCAGCTTTTATTCCGTCTCCTACATTTCAGCCAAACATCTCTGAACAAAGGCAAACTCAGCCGGGGTGTCAAGTGTTTCCTCTTTGCTGCTTTGATTAAAAGCCCTGCCGGGAGGCACAAGCTGAGAGACGTTTCCCAGGTAGACGCGCCTCCCGACAGGACTCTGGACAGTCCCCCTTAGCTCCGGGTAACAGAATCCCGTCGGCCGGGCTGGCCCGACCTCCCTGCCGCCACAAGCCGGGAAAGCCGCCTACCCGGCTCCCCGCGGAAGAAGCCGCTGGGTTTCGGGATCACTTCCCGCAGGCGCCGAGAGCGCTGCCCAGCAGGGCGGGACGGCACAAGGGGACAGAGGTCTTTGGGCGGCTTCGCGCCGGCTCGGAGCTCCCGGACGCAGCAGCAGGGATCCCGCCGGGGCGCGCCGTACCGGGCGCCGCCCGCACCAGCCGAGCTGTGTCGGACCGGAATGCCGGTCCCGGCGGGCGCAGACCCCCATTACCTGCACGCGGCACCGCCGGGACGCCGCCATGACACCCCCGCTCCCCGTGCGCTCCCGGCGTGCCTCGCGGGATGGACGGCGCGCGGCGAGGGACAAACTGTCTCTGCGCGCGGCGCGTTGCTGTGCAACGCCGGAGCGACCGTTAGGGGGCGGCGCGCGCATGGCCAAGTTCGTGGTGGCGGGTGAGGGGCGAGCCGGGACCCTCGCGGGGCACCGCGTCGAACCGACACCCGGCACCCCGGGGCACCCCCGCCTCGTACCGGCACCCGGCACCCCGGGGCGGCCCCGGCGGCAGCAGCATCACCTTATGTGCCGGGACCCAGGCGGGGCAGCCCCGCCGCTCTTGCAGCGGGCTCATTGCGGGCTGCTCACCGTCCCCTCTTCAGGCGTCCCGGGAGCTGTGCCCACACGGCGTCAGCCGTACCCGAGTCAGAGTTCTCCCCTTATCCTGTCAGTGAGGCTTCATCCTCTGCTGCTGTCGCACCAGGGGGTGGCCTCCTTGGACCCTTGAACTCTGAAGAGACTGTTTGACCTCCAGAGCTACCTTGCTTTTGCTGGTTCACATTAAACAATGGTCTTTTAAGTCCTCATCAGTCAGTGTCACAAAATCATCCATTTGTGCTCCTGTTCCTGTGTTTACAGGTAAGGCAAACTGCCCTTACTATGCCAAAGCTGAACACCTGGCTGACTATCTCCAGGCTGCCTTGCCCAACTTCAGGGTTCACAAGATCACTCAGCACCCTGACAAGTGGGAGGTAAGGGATTATAAGCCAAGTCACTAGCAGGTGCTCCAGTGCTCTACAAACCAACAAATGTGTTTATATGTAGTATGTTTATTCTCTTGTATTAGTGGTTTGGTATGTGGGTGGAGGTGCTGCAGAAGCAGCTTTGGCTCTGAGAGCCAGCCGGAGGAAAGTTTTGAATGTTTTGAGCAACTGGCATCATTGTAAATCTTACCACAGAAGATGGGCACAAAGTGTGGGCCAGCCTAAAGGTGTATTTTGTCAATAGAAAGTTCAAGGAGGTTTTGTTTGTTTGGTCAGATTTTTTTGGTTTATGTATACATGGCATCTCAGCCTGTAAATCTTTTGCTCACTGTGACTGAATATGTCTCCAGAGTTGTTACTTGTCAAGATCATTTTTGGCAGTCAAGGGCTTTGAATGGCAATGGAAGTATGAAGTTAAATATCACATATTTGTTTACAATGTGGCTGTGCCTTTCTGAATATTTATGCTGTAGACATGTTGCCGTGTCTACCCTGTAGTTCCTGTAAGGATCTGAAAAAACTGCAGTCTGACTTCATGAGATAGACAGTGCCATGATGTTTATTACCTCATATTTTGCTTGACACTTCAGCCAAGTAAGTCAAACAGTTAAGTGAAAAGCAATTAACCTCTTACTTACCTTCTGCAGCTAAGTAATCCTCATGTTACTCACTGCTTCACAACATTGCTATCTTCAGTATACTAAAACAATTAAGCAAAACCACAGCAGTAAAATCAAGCAGAATTAAGACCTTTAGGTGACATGTCACTGTGTATCACCCTGCCTTGCTTTGTGCTGGTTCCCCATTTTGCACATTCTGGTACATAAGTTGTGAAGCACCTTATAATTACGTATAGAGAGGCAATAGTAAGAATGTTTAGAGTTGTAAGACTTAAATGTTATTTAAGTGTTAAAACCTTTTGGTGGGGATGCTTGCATTAGCAGTGGCTTCGTGACATTTGTGAAACGAATGGATGGGAACACAGACAGTCTCCTATCATTTGGAGAGAACTGTTGGACCGTGGAGGGAAAGGTCAGCTTCTGGGAGGACTTAATGACTTTCTGGAATATGCTCAGGTAATGAGCTGCTTTTAATACTGTAAACCCGTGTTTTATAACAGTGTTGTTCTTTATTGCTCCTTCAAATGTAAAATAAAGCTATTTTTTGTAATATTACCCTGCTGGGTGGGGGCTACCATTTGATTGGAGATCATCCTCTTTGTTCTTAGCAATATTATGGTGTCACTTCAATGATGCTGAGTGAGGAAATGTTAAATATTGCTGAGGAGAACCTGCAAGCTCATCTTGAGATTGTAAAAGAGGATGAAGAGATTAAGAGTCTTATCAAGCCTATGCAGATCTGGATCACCAGGTGAGAGTAAAGGGAGTATGAAGTTTCACTCAGCTTCAAAAGAATGCATTTTTTCCTATCACATATAGCTGGTGTAACCATCTGAAGTTATGCACAAATCCCTGTAATGTGATGATTTGAATTAGGTTCCACCCCCCTCACTATGACAAACTACTTTTCTTACATTTTGCACCAGTTTAAGTGAGAGCTGTGAAAAGGCAACATTTAGACTCCAGATTGGTTTAGGGAAAAGCAAGTATTTACAATATAAGCTGGAAATTTTGTAGTGTAACTATCTTGCACTAAATGTTGTTGGAAATATTTAAGAAGATAAAGTCTCTTGCAGTTTTACCTTTAGTATTTTCTGTATTTTAGCTGTCCTAACAGAACACCTTAAAAAATTGTCATTCTATAACGACACCAATTTTTAAATTACAGCATTAACTGAAACATGTAGGATGAAAAAACCTTCAAATGAAAGGAGGACCCAAATGTTTTGATTCTTAATGTGTTAAAATGGCAGAAAGAGCAGTAAAGGATCCAAGCTAATGGTCTATTTAAATGTAATCAAATACAAAATAAACACCTTCCAAACAAACAGTGGTTCATTGTTAACTTTTCTACATCCTTCTCTTATCAGTGCATCAGCTCCAATCTGTTATCAGCTGATCCCTCTGTTGGCAAATGGAGAAGTGTTTGGGATGACCACAGAAATCAGTATCCATTTGCTTGACACTGGCCAGTTTAAGGAAGTTCTTTGCAGTATTGTGATGGAAGCTGAAGACATGGCGTTCCCACTTCTCCGCAGTATTTTGGAGCACACTGAAATAGATGAGGCTTTTATTGAAGCTGATGTTATTATTGTTCTTGATGATGTCCTCTTAAACCTTGAAGTCCAGTCCCTTGAGAACTACATCAGAGAAGTGAGTGAGATCTGTCAAGTGTATGCTCCCTTGATTGAGAAGAATGCCAAGAGTGAGGTCAGAGTAATTTCATCAGGAAAAACCTTTGCAAACCTTAAGGCAACGCTGATCATGACATACGGCCCTTCCATTAAGCCTGAAAATATCATCGCCGTTGCGACATCCTGGGAAAGTGCAGCTAAAGCCATGCTGGCCAGGAAGCTGAATATGAGCACAGCAGGTGAATATTTACGTAGCATTTGGGGAAGTCAGTGCACCTTTGGGAGTACATATGTAGTTTCACTGCAGAACACAGATGATATGCATGCAGAAATGCAAGCACAGCAGTGAACCCACTGAATTGTCTGGGTGCAGAGAATGCCAGGGTGTCTTTTGCTGGCTGTGGGATGCAGCCCTGCCATTCTGGTGTGTGTTTCATGCTGGATATCTACTAAGAAGGTCTGAGTTGTGTTGCGGAACTAGGATGTCAAAATTGCATTTGCACTCTGTAGTGCATTGTTATTTTGCAGACACACAAACTAGCTGTGATTAAACATGGCAACGTACTGCTGTGCAGATAATGAGAGTAAAGTAGAATTGTGTTGTAGTATTATTTTGTGGTTAATTAGCTTTCTTTCTCGCGTCAGTTGTTATAGCTTGGTTATATTTGCACAGTTCTGCACTGCATAGCAAAGGTGTGCTCTGACAGCCTGCTCACCATAAGGATTCTTTCAGTGTTGTAGGGGTAGAACTAGTCACTGATAACAAGTCTAGATATTTTAGAGCCTAATAAAATAGAAAAGTAAGTTAATAGGATGAAGGGCCTATCAGCAGGTTATTTGAGAAAATTCTTTTGCACCAAAAAAGGTAGGTGTTTTTTAATGACTTTTTTATTGTTTCTGTATTTTTTTACAGGATTTTAAAATTAACATTGCTGTATGTTTGCAATATGATTTGGTTTGGTTTTTAAAGACTAAATATTTACCTTGGTTTGTCTATTATTTAAAATAACATGATATAAATTAAGGTTCCTTTTTCAGGTTGCAATGATGTTTCATATATTATAGAGAACTTGGTTGCAGTTTTCAGATCAAATAATTTCTGCTAGCAAGGCAGGGCACTGCATTGAAGAATCATTAATGTATATATTTTCCTCTGTTACAGGAGTTAAAGACGTGATTGTTTGGGGCAATACTACTGGCTCTAACTACATTGATTTGTCACATGCAAAACTTTATGGATATGACTGTGCTATTTGGGGCCCAGCTAATTTTCAACGTCCTTTGTTGAATATGATTTATGATAGGTACAGTACAGATTTATTTCTGTAAAGTAAAACTAAATAACTAAATGAATCCATATTTATCTGAACTGGGTGATAAAACAGCAAGAAAGGTTCTCGTTTCCAAGTTTTATCTTTACTGATCAGCACTGCTTTAAAGGGAAGCGTAAGTCGAGGTATTCCATTCGTGAAAGAAGTTGAGTAGTTCCTAGCACTGTACATAGTTCTGGCTCTCCTGCCAACTTTGTTTATAACTGTATTTTCCTACATTTTAAGTGGGTTTCTCTTATATCATGGGCAGTTTATAAGAAGTAATTGAAGTCCAGACAGTGACTTAGATATCTAATACATGCAAAGAAACTTTGAAATAGAACTAAAAAGATATCTGTGCCTGAATTACATGAAACATATGGCCTGAGCACACTAATGTTGTCAGTTTCCCAAAATAGACAATTTGTTAACATATGTGAAAAGGATACCTGGCAGCCAGATAGCTTCTTGTGGAAAGAACAGGAGCAGAGAATGGATGGGTGCAGTGAGAGGGCAGTGGGTGTCAGATGCACCATGGCCCAGCTGTATGGAGCTCACACTCTGGTCTAAACTGGCATTTACTGAAGAACAGACATTTCTTTTGTTCTGTGCTTGTACTGAGCTTAACATAGAGGGATTATGGTTCATGGCTGGATTCTTACATAAATCAGTAATACATATAAATCACAGTAATAACAGGTTATGCCTTGAGTAAATAACCTAACTTTCATAGTAAAGTGGTGTTTGTCATTACCTTTTGGGCTACTTTTTGTTAGGCCTTTTTTTTTACTGGCTGTAAATGCCTTGCCTCCAGCAGTGAAGCTGGAGTAAGTTTTGACTGTTTTCTTTCCTCAGGTTTAGTCCCTTTTTTTGTCTATGAAACTACACTTCCATCTTAGGTTTTTAATCTCTTTTTTCACCCTTTTTTTGTTGGTAGGGAATGGATCCATTCAGAATTTCTATCTGCACAGGGTTCACTGCATTCCCGAGTCAGTCGTTGCACAGGGATGTTACCTGCTCATGCAGTGGCCACTGTACTGCAGTACTGGTATCACGGCTCTCCTCCTGGGGAGATTGTTTCTGTGGGAGTACTTAGTGAAGGTAAATCTATATTTGCTTCTCGTGTTCTCTTGTAGCTTTGCACTACATATAATAGCTTTCCCCTATCTCTAACATTATTTTTTAATCAGTACTTTTAATTTAACAAAAACTTGTAAAACAAGTCATGTGAGGCTGAGAGTTTGTTTCATCATAAGAACTTCTGAATCTAAGTAATTTTGCTTTCCAGGACTTGTGATTTGATACTCACTTTCTAGAAGCATCTCTTAGGTTAGTATTGTCTTTTTGCAGATTTTTTTCTCAATCTTTTATCTTTAATGCTTTTCTGATGTTTTGCCCAAGAACTCTTAATAGATCTTAGTGCCTAAGACAGAAAAGCGTGTTCTTTTTACATAGTTATGTGAACGAAAAAATGTAATATTTCACAACAGACATTTAACCCTTGTATGAAATAAATAATTTCCCCCCCTTTTAAGATGCACAATTTTACATCTTAAAATTGCACAGTTGTACAAGGGGTAATGGTTTTTAACTGAAGGAGGGTCGATTTAGATTAAAGAAGTTTATTACGAGGAGGGTAGTGAGACACTGAAACAGGCTGCCCAGAGAGGTGAGAGATGCCCCAACCCTGGAAACATTTAAGATCGAGTTGGACAGGGCTCAGAGCAACCTGATATATTTGAAGATGTCCCTGCCTATGGCAGGAGGGTTGGACTGGAGACCTTTAAAGGTCCCTTGCAACCCAAACTAGCCTATGTTCTATGATTCATGTGCATCTAACTAAAGTACAAGGTTACTGTAATAGGGGAACTCTTTTTTGAACTATAGACTGAAAAATGCAGTCTCCATTTTTACTAAGATCTTTCAGTTGCAGACTTTTGCAGGTCTGTAAAATTTAATGTGGACAGTGGTGAGGCTGTGTTTTGCAATAAGAAATAACATGTGGGGTCATTTTTTCCCTCTTCTTCAGGTCAGTTTTGTGTTCCCGAAGGAATTATCTTCTCTATGCCAGTGAGGTTCCAGAATGGTAACTGGGAAGTCATAAAAGAATTAGAAATTGATGGAACGACCCAAGAAGTTCTGGGACGCTTAGCCCACGAGCTAGTTCAGGTGAGGATTTCTTGTGTCTCCCGTATGCCCATTCTGCCACCTATGGGCACGTTGTGATACAGCCTTGAGCACTGAGACCTTTACTCTCAACGTTGGGTGTACACACTGCCCACATGCACTTGGGCATGATAAAGATGAAGTATTTATAAGTGTAAGGTAGTATTTGTATATTGAAATTAACAATTCTGTTGCCCAGAAAGGAGATGGTAAAATAAGTGTACCTATGTACGTGGAGAAGTTACACTCCAAAGTTCCACAGGCTTTGTGCAAAACAGAAATATTACCTTTAATTTAGTGTTCCTGCATTCTATGCCACTGATGTTGGTTTTGTTTATGTGTATTCAGAGTATTTCTATGCTAGAAGACATCTTTTGGCATTTTTGTGGCTGTAACTCTGCATGAATGAAGGCCAGATATTACTAGAATTTTTCAGAAAATACAAAATCAACAAGCACTAATTTCGTCATGAACTTTTCGTCACTTAGTGAGGCAAAATCAATTTATTTTTAGTATTGAAATACTAAAAAGACTGGTTTGAAACTCTGCATTCCAGCTTCAGTCAGTTTGGGGATCTTCAGTCATACTAATAATGTGTAAGGATTGTTTTGTTTTAACATATTTTAAGTTTGTGCTAGATATTATAGCAGATTAAAAGAATGAGTGATATTAAAACTGCCGTTTTTTTTTTTTTCCCCATTTAGGAAAAACTCGTTGCACTAAAGGAAATAAAAGAAATACATCCATATGGAGAAGGCTAAAAACCCCACATCCTTTCCCAAGTTTTTCTGTGCTGCTTTTTCTACCTACTTTGCTTTTCAAGTTCTCTGTCCTCATTCATCAAAATAAGAGCAGATGAATTTAAAAGCGTATTTTAGTTCTGTTTTTTCACCTTTTCCCTATTCTCAGGTTCTGAAATCCCTGCCATTTTTCAATGGTCTAGCCTTTCTTTCTACTTTTCAGTCCTACAGACCTTTGTTCTAGTTAGTTTCCTTTCTCTCTTCCTTCAAATTCTTTCGAGTACTTTTTTATCAGGACTTACCATACTGTGAGCTGTTCTTCTCCACTAAGGGCAGGCTGAAGAAGGGGAAATTACTTGGAGCTTGATGCCCAGAGCCTGTAGTGAGCATATGAGCCTTTTGGTTATCCATACTTTTTTCTTGAGAAAGAACTACGGACACATAAGATATTCTTGATAATACAGAGTTCAATTATTTGGCTGATCATGACCTTGTTTAACGCAGACAGGAGTTTCCCAATTAGATGATTGTCCTTCCCTGTCTGCTCCCTGTGTATATGGCACTGCTCTTCTGTAGAGCTGCCCTATTTCTCTTGTGGCTGTGTTAAACACTAAGCAGAGGCCTTCCCACTGCTAGCAGCTATCTGCTTGGGAGTGGCCTTCTCTTGTGACATCAATATCAGGTGTTCAGATATTCCCAAAGTGCCCTGCTGATCTCTTTGGATGTGTAGGCATTTTAGAAGGCTGGCAAAAAATATGTAATGTTTTTGCTTTTATTTACAGAAATGGAAACCTTGCCTACTGGGTCACTTTAGCCAGATTTGTCAGGAGGACAAATCTGGTCGCTTTACAACTGGGTCACTTGAGTCAGAGTTGTTTGGAGGAAAATTGCTGGAAATTCCCATACAAAAATAAGACTTTCATTGCTCCAAAGAGCAAACTACAAAAAACATTTAAACATTGTCATAGCTTTTGCTGTATCTTCCTCATAAAAAACCAGGAAATCTCTAGGCAGAAAAATATTTCCAAACAAGAATGAATGAAACATTCTTAATCTGAAGACCAAAATAAAATTCCAACTGATTCTAATGAGTCTAGGATTTCATTTGCATCCAACAACTTATTTCTTCAGACCAATAAACTGTTTCAAAAACATAGTTTAGTGTCCAAAACGTTCATATTATGAAAATATTGAGCAGGACTGTCACACCTAGAGAAGTGGTTTTCTAACTGCAAATACTTATTTTGAATGTGTTGAAACACAGAACTTGTGTAATAATATACTTTCTTAGGAAAAATTGATTTTTAACATGAAAATATAAGTCCATCTCCTTAGAGACAAGATAATTTTTGTCTTCAGGGTTTTTTTATTTATCTCATGAGTTTCAAGGGAATACTTATATTTTTTAAGTCAAACATGCAATTAATTAAGTCCTTGTCTAAACAGAACTATTGAGGAACCACTTTCACTTGTATGTCTTCGGGGTCTTAAAAAATGCAGACTGTGTTAATGAAATGTTTGGAAATCAATTGGTATTTTATGTGCCTTTTCCTTTCCTTCCACCTTTTCATCCAGTCTTTGCTGAAAGCTGTGGAACCCTCTCATTCACTGCTGGTGGCACAGCATCAGATTGAAACTTCTGAGCTTTTACTTTCACTCTTGGTACATTGAGCATCTGTTACTGTACTTGCTGATTTTATCAGTTATGTTTAAAGAAAAATAAAAAGCTTCCTGTTCTTTAAATCAGATACATATAGTTGGAATAAATTAATTTTTTCTGTCAAGTGGAGGTTCAAGCTCTTAACAGGACTAGACTTCTTATATGAGGAAACCAAGAGGAGTATATGTTATATATAGGAGGAGTTCACATGGAAATTTTAGTGGCAGGTGTAGTAGAAAGTCTTTAAGAAAGGGGTTAGGAATCATTGATTTTGTGAGAAAATGATCTCCACAGAATTAGTTTCTAGTATATGCGCAGAAAATTGGCTGAGTTTCCGAGAGCATCTGGAGGTAGAAGTCTCAGGAGAGCATAGTGGGGTGCTACCAGTAGTCATTACAAACTACCTGGTTTGTTCCTTCTTCTCCAAGACAGGAGAGGAAAAGTTATCTTCTCTAATGTGTATTTACATTTAGGGTTTTTTCTGTATGGAATATGATTTGGCAATCTTTTACTCTTTGAATTCTTTTATTCTGCCTGTGGAGACAGTAGTTCAAACAAACTGCAATTCAAGCACCAACACTGCACAGCTGCTAATGAGAAGGAATATAACTGTTTCTGCAATATATAAACAGGCTTATCAGACTTCTGAGTCACTAGCTAGAAAGCTTTTTTTCTCTGAGGCTTGGGGTTGAAAGAAAAAAGTGTTTGGGATGTCTCTTGTATCCTAAGCTACTCTAACTGGATCTGCCTAGTGGCCTGCAGGGAAATTCATGTCTTCTCTTGTGGAAGCATAATAGAATGGAAAAGTTTCTTTTCCTAACTTTGCTTGGGAGAGAAAGACAAAAATTTAAATAGTAGGAAAGCTAAAATATTGTAATCAAAGTTGATTACAGTTGTAGCACAGCAGTTGACTCAGTCATCACTAAGTTTGGGTTTTCTATAAGTAATAAGCAATTTCCAGTATACATTTTCTCACAAGTTACCAAGTAATGTTATATATGCAGGATATTCATAGCACTGATGACTCCTACTACCTGGGTATTAGAGTAGCTGTTGAAATATTTATGAGAAAGGGCTTTGAGCTAAATGTATGTTTCTTAAAAATGTTATATATATTCTGCATAAACCCTTGCATTTGGGTGTTGTGAAGAGTGTATTGGCTTTCTGGTTGGTCTGAAAAAACCTTATTCTAGGACATTACCACTAGGGCTTACTATTTTACTTCTTTGTGTAGCTGCACCAACCGTTTCTTACAGCACACTGTACTTTCTGCATTACTGTGCCAGCTTCCACCTCATTTTCAGTCTCTATAGCAACATGTTTCTCAGCAACTGGGAGATGCTTAGTAAAGGCCCCTCAATTTAGTAATACTGCACTCCATCCTTAAGAAAATGCTTTGAAACAGATCAAAGAAGTTTTATCTTTAATAATTCAGGATATTTATTACTATTTAATTAGTGTTCTCTGTTTTGACTGCTTAGACAATTACCTGATACTTTGATCTGGGCCTTTGCCAGCCATTTGTTGTGAGCAGCATTAATTTAAAAGCAAAACCTTTAGAACTGTGTCCTGGAGTCAACTTTTAAGTGCTATAAAACTACTGGACTCCTCTGGCAGTGTCGTCTGACTTCTGGGCCTTTAGTAAGTAACGAGAGAAAGGTAAGAGCAGCTACTGTGTTTAAGAGGAGACAATAATTTTGGCCTTTGAACAAAACATAGAATGTGTTCACCCTTCACAGGAAACAAAAGTAACTGTAGGTTATTTTATGCATATTTGAAATGTTGATCATATGTTGCCCAATTTCAAAAGAAAAAAATTTTCTGTGATCAAGTCATTGATCTGTTGGGAGATTTCTGCCTTACTTCATGTGGCTTGTCCTTCTCTGTACTGTAACTTAATCATGCAGCATGTTTAAAAGTGCACTTTATTTGCTAAAGTACGTATTCTGAGAACCTGTAAGGCAAATAAAGTACATGTAAGTAATCAAACATTACTTTTCTTCCACATTCCAATAGGTTTCAAGAAAAAAGCTGTTCTTGTTCTACACATAAGAGTATTCTTGTTAATGGGACCAAGATATATAATTGTAAAAATTTATTTCCTGTACATTTGTATGTAATTTTAATTTTCTTGTTTCTTTATTTTCTGTAAGTGTTTTTCATTATTAAAGTGCACAAGTAGCTGAAATATAACACACTGACTGAAATGGTGTATGAATGAGCAAAGTTAGTTCAGATTTGATAGCTGGCAGATACTGCTACTACTTTCATATTATCTTTATTATAAGGTAGATGTGCTAATACTGAAGTAGATTCTGTTCATTTCACCCAGGCATTTGTACTGCAGTCAAGATCTGGACTGTCCACAGAGTTTTCTATGTAAAAATGTAGACCGTACATCCATTAATAATGTCTTTTGTAACTTTTTGGAGGGAGGATTCATGGGTATGACGTATAATGGTGGGCAGTTTGGTAAAACACATAAACAATTTGAGCTTAACTTCAAGACCATAAATACCCTAATACAAGGCTATAGGGTCTTTATCCATATAGGTCATTTAAATATTGGACACTGCACTGTACTGGATAGAGATCTTGTCACCTTACGGTATCAAGTGCTCATAGATTATGCATGCTGCATAATTCAGTAAGGATCTGTGCTTATTTGAGTAGGCAAATTCTAATGAGTTCTAATTAAAGTGAGTTTATCCTGTATATCTTTACATTCATTCCGTCCTCTGTCTTTATTTTATGTATCCTTGGTGCAGAGAAAAGCAGGAGGAAAACATGAGGCAAGCTGTGTGTTTGTAAGTTTACCTTCTAGGTTTCTTACAAAACATGTAGTTTTCAATAAATGCTTATGTTTAATTCATTGTTTAGAATCTTCTGATTTCATTAGTTTACCTACATTGAATTTTCTGTCAGGCTATGCAGAGGCACCTACTACTGCATATATTTTAGGAGTAATTGTATCATATTTGCATATATATTGCATATATATTTGCATATGCAGATGTATATGCACAAAGTTACATGCCTGTGTAAGTGTTGGGCAGAGGTGTAGTCTTGCAGAACCCAGTGTTGAGTCCAAGCTGTAAATCTTAGTAAGGAAGAAAATAGAAGAACAGTGGGAAGAAAATAGAAGAACAGTGGGAAAAAAAATCATGGTATTTCTTTCAAAAAAAGGACTTAAATAAAAACTTTGGCATTGTATTCTTTAATGAAAAGTTATGAAAGAAAATCTGTATCCCATTATTGTAAATATTTATAGGTTACTTAGAGACTGAAACACAAAGTAGCAGCTTAGACCAACTAAAATGGTAAGAAGCATATTTATGGTAGACTCAACAATTATAGATCACTGAATATTTATGCTTCATAATTGGCCAGTGTTCTGTCATGTTTATGACAAATGATCAATGATTCTCACTGGAAAAATGTAGTAAGTAAACAGTTGTTTAAGTTTGGGTTTAACACCAAAGGTATTTTTTAAGTTTTAAATCCTTTCCAAGTATTTAATTTTCATTTAATCTAGCAAAATTTCCCTTTTTTTTCTCCACAATAAGCTGTATATGTGGCCCTTGGAATCTTGTAAAACTTAGATCCATTATAGCTAGTGTTTTGCAACTGTAATGTTAACTGATAGTTACTACAATTAATTCATATTTTTGTGTTTGAAAATATAATGTAGTTTAGAGCATTAATGAAATAAATCCTGAGGGGAGACATTCAGTTTCCATTATTATCAGGGACATAATTACTTTTGCTTTCAGAGTTGCTTAAAGAAGGTGATTCATGG